TTGTTGTGGAGTTATTTCTGGTTTTAGGCATGATCTGAAGTTGTAACTTCATATCTAGACTCCTCTAGCCCCTTATAGTCATAAATTTCTAGTCTTTAGCAAGTTATGGCCTTCTCCTTACCTAAAGCTTCTTCCTTAGCTTGGTTTTAGTATTTAAGACCTTGCATCCACGTAAAGTTTGCAACTTTACGTGGAAACCATCGCAGAAAGGCGAATGCGTGATAGTGCACATCCTTATATTTTTATGATTTGGTCTTGGGATACTCTGACTTGAAACCATTTTGAAAACAAATTTGTATAATTGTTGGTTTTTAAATGATTAAAAAAGTTTTAAATTTGCATGATTTTTATAGATGTTACAAATAATAATAATAATAATAATAATAATAATAATAATATGATTTTATATAATTTAGATATATCATTTAAAAAAAATTCGGATAATTTTATAAATAATCTATGTTAATTCTATTAAAATAAAAACAAAAAAATAATATATATATATATATATATATATATATATATATATATATATATATATATATATAATAAACTGTTAAAAAGAAAAAGAAAAATGAAAGAAATGGTAACTTTGTCTTTTCATATAAAGTTAGGAGCTGAAGTATAGTATTCAAAAACCACATGAATACAACCTATCAAATTTTAAATCTAGAGATCAAAATTGCGAATTCGATCAAACCATAAGGACCATTTTTGTACATTACTCTAATGTAAATAAAAAATAAATACTAATTCATATAAATAATTAGTTATGAAACTCATGTAATTACATTGGTTATATATATATATATATATATATATATATATATATATATATATATATATATATATATATATATATATATATATATATATATAGAGAGAGAGAGTAAATTACACGAATGGTCCCTATGCCTTGGGGTAATTTGCACGTTTGGTCCTAAATTATTTTTTTAACTCGTAAGGTCCCTACTGTTTGTTTTTATTACGCGCTTGGTCCCTACTGTTTGTTTTTGTTACACGTTTGGTCCCTATCTTACTTAAAATTATTATTATTTAAATAAGAAAAAATGATAGGGTATGTAATGTAAGGTGAAGGGTGAGGTTGGGGTGTGTTTATTTAAATAAATTTAAAAAAATCAAAGGGAAAATAGTCTTTTTAGGTAAGACAGAGACCAAACGTGTAACAAACACAAACATTAGGGACCTTCCGAGTTAAAAAAAATAAGTTAGGGATCAAACGCGCAAATTACCATAAACCATAGGGACCATTTGTGTAATTTACTCATATATATATATATATATATATATATATATATATATATATATATATATATATATATATATATATATATATATATATATATATATATATATATATATATATATATATATATATGGAAAAGTGAATATACCCTTAAAGGTATATAACCTTAGGTACCCAAACACACCATAATACGTCGTTTTGTTTGATATATTCATTATAATGCTCTTAAACTTCCACCCCTAATGTGATTTACTTTCAAGATTTTCGAAATTTGACTATTATCTTTCTCTTACATCACATCTTTTTACCGTACACGTACTAGGTTATATATATTATACTTGAAAATGAAAACTATACAATAGGAAGATAAATGTGTAATTTGTAAAAATCTTGGTAGTAAATTAAGATAAAAGTTAAATTATAAGAACATTGGACAATTAAAATGTATTATATGATACAAAACGATGTAATATCGTGAGTTTAGGTACCTAAGCTTATATACCCTTAATGGTATATTCACTTTTCTCATATATATATATATATATATATAATAAATATAAAGGTTTTGAAAACTTTGAATTTATAAGAAAATAAGAAAAATAATGAATTAGATAACATATCTTCTTTATTTCTCAAAGAAAATAACATAACTTCAATGCTCAAGTAAATCCCGTTGTCAATGATTTTTTATGACAAACATATATATAACTACATAAAATACAATCACCTAGTCCAGCAAACTCAAGAACCATAAAGATTTTGAGGTTGTGGAGAATGAGATAACATATCTTCTTTATTTCTCAAACATGTTAAGTGACCATCTATGTGTGTTTTTCATAACGCTCCTTTATCTTACCATTAGTAGCTATTTGGGTTTCAAAAAGTTCGATTTATGGGTTTTAGAAGCAAATTTGAACACCAAAAGTGTTAGGGGTTCAAATTTTATTTGATCTGTTATTTTCTTAAAAAATAAGAAAGGTCTAGATGTTTTTTCGGTGATAGAATCAAGGAGCCTCATTGATGTGTCTTTGGAACTTGATGATTGTAAGGAGAAGCATGTGGTCTGTGATAGTGTAGTAAGGGTGGGGAGACTGTCTATATCTTGAAGAAGATGAACGAGGGAGGGAAGTTGATGGGAGGAAGGGTATCACGAAGAAAATGAACGACGAAAGGGAGTTGACGGAGGAAGGGAAGAAACGGGTGGTGTTTAGGTGTAAGCTTGGTGAAGTTTTTATGTATACAATATTATTATAAATTAAAGAAAGATAATTAAGTTACAAAAACAAACTAAGACTAAGATAGTAATTTCAAATCAAATATAAAAAAAATGAAGCCAGAATGACCAAAATCGCAATATATTGAAACCATAAAGACAATTCCTATAGTTTCTTAAAATTAATCGAAGAGGAAACTAATCAAAAGGCCGAACGGATTAAACTTTAGGGATAATGACTTGATAGGGTAAGATACTTTTTGAAATGTACACATGTAGTCCTTATTCCTTTTTTTTGTAAAATAAACTCTTATACTTTATTTTTTGTAACAATGCAATCCTTATGACCAGCTATACCCGGTATACCGATCATATACGAATTTTCTTTCAGAGAAAATGACTTGATAGGGTAAGATACTTGTTGAATTGTACACATTTAGTCTTTATTCTTTTTTTTGTAAAATAAACCCTTATACTTTATTAATATGTACACATTAGGTCATTTCCACCGGATTCTACATGTTTTGCTGATGTGGGAAGCACAAGTGACACTAAATAGCAATTAATTAGCTTAGTTACCGGAGGTGGGTGATCCTCCAGCAACTAGAAAAGGGTGGCGACCCTTCTCTTTCTCGTCTCTCTTCCTTTCGGTCGAACAGTAACAGCCAAACACCATTTACCTGTTGTGTTTCTCTGATCTGTCTCTCTTTGCCTCCATCTTTGAGATATGTTGCCAGAAAAAGAAAAAAGAATCGACGAGGGGGCTACCAGAGCAGCTCCTCGCCGCCAACTACCATCTCTATTTCCTCCTGCCTCCCCCTTCGATCTTTCTTGTTTTTGCCACCATTCCTCTTTGCTACCAGTGATGTGTAGGAACACACAAAGAAGTCGCCGGAGATCAGACTTCTCCCTCTTTTTCATGATGAATCAAAGTTGGAAAAATCTCGTTGTGGATATGTGGATACCACCTTGGTATTTAATTTCAACAAAATAAAAGAAAGGGAAAATGACTTGATATGGTAAGATAGTTTTTGAAATGTACACATTTAGTCTTTATTCTTTTTTTTTTGTAAAATAAACCCTTCCACATCAGCAAAACCTGTAAAATCCGGTGAAAAAGACCTAATGTGTACATATTAATAAAGTATAAGGGTTTATTTTACAAAAAAAAAAAAAAAAAAAAATTAAATGTGTACATTTCAAAAAGTATCTTACCCTATCAAGTCATTATCCCTTAAACTTTACACTATCTTTAGTTATACAATCTACTCAAAGTTCTCAAATTGTTCCTATCATAATACAGTTTCTTTATCATATTTAGCACCCTTTTATTCATTTATGTCAAAAAATTTAACACTGAAAATCATGCTAGATAATTTTTCTTGTTTATCACCAAACAACATTCTATAGATTTTTACTTCCAAATTCTAATCGTATTCCCAGAATCTTATCAAATAAAAAAGTTTTTGCACTCATTCATTCTTCATATGTATCATTTACACCCGAAAATATCATTGTTGTCGACTTTACTCTATACAAAAGAAGTCAAAGTTTTTATTGACTTATTCATAACCTGATGCTAATATAATAGTTCCAACCTTATAATTGGTTGGTGGATGGGGGATTGGGGGACCATACATCATCATGCATGTATTAACTATTTATGGTCCTTTAAATTGAAGTTGGATTCTAATTTGGGCCCATATTTATCATTGTACAATATATCATAAATGTTTTGTTATCTAATGAAACCATAGCTGTCTATGTTGTTGGATCATCTATACATAAAGACACCACCTGGGCCCACTAATGTATCATCATCATCATCATCATCATCATGTGAACACATCATTGTTATGTTCTTTTTAGTTATTTGATATAGCATCATACTTTCATTTTTACTATTACAATAGAATAGAATGAAATTATAGGATGCTATAATACACAAATAAGTAAAAGTACATTATTATTTATTGCATTTAATCCTTGTTTTCTAGCAACTTTTAAACAATAGGTGACCCAACACGTGTATTAACACAAAGCATTTTTGTCTCCATGATACGAATATACTTTGGTTAAGTTTACACTAAAACAAAAGGCTTCATTTGTTTTCTTTGAAAAAAACGTAATAAACAATAAACTATCATGTAGAAACAAACAAAGAATCAGATGCTAAATCCTAAAAAATACAAAAACTAAAAACCACCATATTGTTTAAAAGCTGTATAATACGCATTGTTAACCAAAAGTTCAATTGTTAAATTTATGGTGATCTCACAATCAATCTTCAAGAATCAATTGGGTAATGAATTATCAAATAATAGGATAATAATCGAGCTTAATACAGAAAATAACCATGATTCATAAATATGTATCACTCACATATCAAAAGATTCAAGTCTTTTCTTAGTTTCTTGAACTCAAAAGCCCAAGAATATGAAGGGACAAAACAAAACACAAACATAAAAACGAGATAAATTATAAATAAGTACCTAAATAACTCTCTCTACTCCTTTGATATCAATTATCAGACTCATTTTTCCTGGTTGATTTTTCGGTTTCTCTGTCCTCCAATAACTTCCCAGATTCATCATCAGGCTGTGATGCTTTCTTCTCTGATTCCTTAGCTTTAAGAGCCTGCAACTTTGCGTGATTGTAATAAGCAACACCCATGAAAGCAATCACGTAACCAAAAAGATTGATGGGTGTCACAGTATCCTTAATCACAGACCATGAAAATGCAATCAACAACCAATCTTTAACAACCCCAGCAACATTCATGGTTAAAGCTGAAGTCTTGCCGACAAGTAAGAACACAGCAAGATTCAATGCAAAAGCACAGACGGAGTTTGTCCCGAAGATTAAGTAATCAAAATGGAAACTTGATGTGTCTCTTAGTTTAGGGAACTCGACAATCATCCATGGAATTGATAAGAAAGCTAAACAACAAGGGGCGACGTAGTAGAGGGAGGTGATTGGATTGAATGTGATTCCTTTTGAGGTTAATAGGATTTGGATCAGAACTAATCGAGTAGCTTCGAAACAAACAGCGCCTAGCTGTAACGTAACACCCCATGTATTGAATTGGGCTTCACCATAAGCAGCAATCGCAACGCCGAATGAGATCGAAAGCATGTTGCTCATGGTTTGGCCTTTGAAACTCTCTTTTTTGAGTAAAACGCCGATTGAATAAACGGCGACAGGCATTAGGGCTTTAAGCATTTGAATAAAGGACACAGAGAGATAAATGTAAGCGGAATTGGAGAGCCATAAGCTAAGAGAGTAAAGCAAACCGATTGGGACGACGGATTTCAGATAAACATCGCGACTCATTTGAACTGGTTCGACGACTTTGAGGACATTGACGAGAACGTAAGCTAATGAAGAACAAAACCCCATGTGAATCATGGTGAGTGAGATCGGGTAAGGCCAATTGTACATCTTTCGATCCAAGATGTATTTGTTGTAGACGATTACAGTGAAGCTTAAGAAGATCCAGATCGCGACGTATGTGTAGGAGAGTATGATTTTCCTCAATACACCTTCGCTCAAGGCTCCTCCTTTCCCCATTCTTCGATTAGATCTGGGTATGAAATCGGTTGGATTTGATGGATTTAAGGGCGAAACGAGAAATCCCCTGTTGGAATTGGGGGATTAGTGGGAATTATATATGGAGTTTGAAGAAACTTGACTGAATGATTGGGGATTTTGAATTTGGGTAGTGTGTGTTTGAGTGTGAAAGTGTGTGAAGACGGAGGACTGTGGAGGAATGAGACTTCAATACGGGTTGTTATATATGAAGGGAAGTTATTTTCATGCCTATCGATGGAAAAATAATTTAAAATCAATTTCTAAAACAAGTTTTATAAAAATATTGATTAAACCAATAATCTTTTTAATTAAAATTAAAGAATTTTTTTTTAAAAAATGGTAAACTGTTAGTTAGAAATTAATATCACTAGATTAGTAAAAATCGTCCGGATTACAATATGAGATTTCCAATCTAAGAAGCAAAAATACAAAATGTCTATCAAATGAATTGGTACTATATTGGTCTGATTTTGATCGGATACCTGATCTGCAATCGTGGTCCTCATATATATAACGTATTTTCGGAATGAAACAAGTATTCGGAGTAGCATTTCAAACTCTTGATTTACTTTAAGAATATGGATTCTTATAATAAATAATAGACAATATTATGGATAAGTTCTCTTTAATAAGTTTTGTTGCAACATATCATCGATTTAAACAAGTTCGGAATATGAAGATCTTTATCGGAACGTGTACAACAAATTCAGAATGTAGTAAACTTTTTGATGAAAATATTTTCTTGAAGTTTTTTTTATTAATATTTAGGTATTTTTCTATTTATATTCATAATATGAACATTTAAAACTAGTATAGAACACCAATACAATGTATGAAACACGTATAAATGTCTGCACATGCCAATCATGTTCTAAACATGAAATTTGTGTCCGAAACAGGATGCTAATTTTTTTTTTCATGATTGTGTATACGACACAGGACTCACTACAACTTTCAAGTCATACTTTGGTTAGGACATTATCATTGAGCTACATCTTATCTACATTTTACTTTTCATGATGTTTTATTTTGATAGATGAACTAATACACCTGCAAACGTGGAACATTCTCTAAAAATCTTATTACATATACTCATTTTCAATAAAAATTGCTTGAAAATATATTTCTTCTAGTACAATTTGCTTTTAAAGTTTTATTATTTAGAACAATGATAAAGTATTGTTAAATGTTCATAAGGAAAAAAAAAATTAGGTTCTCTTAATAATCTTTAAATCCTAAATACATAATAATTTTAGTTTTGGTCATCACGTTTAATTTTATATTTGTTATTTTTATAAGAAAAAAAAATCATATTGAAAAAACTAAAAACATATTAATACAAAAGGTATATTGAGTTATAATCACATAAATCTATTCTTAAAAGAATGTTCAATTATAATCTTGTAAAGGTAACAAAACAAAAATCAAATAAGCGTAAAGGTTACAAAACAAAAATCAAATAAACGTGATCGGTAGATTCCTTGTACACGAGCATTACCTAGAAAACTAAAAGGCTGTGTTGTGCTCAATACACAATGAAAAAATAGATGGTTGTAAACTTAAATTTTATATATATATATATATATATATATATATATAATATATATATATATATATATATATATATATATATATATATATATATATATATATATATATATAGTTTTAGTTTTTATTTGTTATATGAATGTTTAGCAAAAATAATTGGAAGCTTTTGAAATATATGAAATTATATAAAAAGACAATTTTGTAAAGAAGATAAATATATAAATAAATTTTCAAGGGCATATCTAAAAAAATAAAAATCTAATAGTTTTTTCTTAAATGCTATATGAAATAGTTTTTAAATTTAGAGTTTTTTTATTTAAATAAAAGCAAAAATTCATATTCTCAAACAAAAGTATTTGTTTAAATGAGTTTTTTTTGTTGAAAGCTAAAAAGTTAAAACTCTACTGTCAAACACACCCATATAATGAATATAAAAACACTCCTTACAATAATCTTCAACATAACAACAATCATTTCAATACGAAAGAAAATAACACTTCTTGTTTTACACGAGATGAAGAATGTGAAATCATAGTTTAGAGTAATCATTGCACACCCTTATTTTGTGATTACGATCATTCAATACATGCTTACGATGATGACATAATAGTCACAATATACATATGGTTAGGAGTATGCATAGATTTATCTAAAACTAAAGCAACTAGGTTACTTTCATTAATGTGGGGATCTCATGTTGGGCAGGTCCATTAGAAAAAGAAAAAAAATCAAATCAAATCCAAAATTTATGTTTTACAACAAGTGTGTATTAAGAAATTGGTAAATTTTGACAAGCTAAAGTGTATAATCAATAATGTTTTAAAATTAATTGTAGATGTTTGTATTTTTTTTAGTTGTTAGCTTTAAGTGATATTACTAAAGAACAAGAGTTCAAATCCCTTGTTATTATTTTCTTTTAATTTTACTTTGGCAATAATTTTATGATCTAAATAAACTAGTCAAATCAAATCAAATTAGAAAAATTCGACACATTTTTACATGCTTAAAATGAAATTGCCTTGTTATGGAGACTCACCATAGGGGTATGGTGAGCATATTCTTGTAGTGCTGCCCATACCATATCTTAGATGACACCTCTGTCCTTCTACTTTAAACACATGGAAGGTTTTCTTGAGTCTATTAATAGGCACATATTGATCCTGTGTAACGATTTGTTAGGCATAAGGTACACAAATGCTTCACCATTTACATAATGCACTAGTTTGATTCAAATAAAAATATACACAAAAATGGCATTTTTGGGAATTGTTGTGAAATTATAATTCTATTACACATATGTAATGTTTGGAATTAATATATTTACTTCATCACCCAAGCCCATTTACAAACTTGGATAACATGAAACTAAACTAGATACAAAAGTTTGATGCATACTGAATTCTAGCAAACATATATTATTTATCTATAAAACAATAAGTAAAAATGTTAACAAAGAATTGTATTTATTTATTTTTTGTTAAAGAATGAAGTACTCTTGTAGTGATGTCTAAAGTTCAATCGTTCATCAGTTCAACTTTTCAATTAAATTATTATTGTTAATTTAACTGAATACTTTTATGTAAATTTTAATATTTGATATGTAAGTGTTGTACTATTATAAATAATTTCTTAAAGTATGTATATTATTGTAGTGGTCAACTAGCTTTTGAGAATTGTTAGTTTTTAAATTTTCTGAAAAAAAAAAAATCAAGTTAAAAAAAAAGTGTTTAGTTAGGGAGTATAATGTTAAAGGTTTTATTTTAAACAAAAATCTCATAATATAAAAGATAGTTCAGTAAGTTTTTAAAAACTTTGTAGGAATGTTTATCTTTTAACTTTTACTTTTATGTTTTATATCATTATACATGTTTAAAAAACTTATAGTTCCTTTTGACAATATTTCTATACAAATAAAATTATAATATTTTATAACTTCTAGATATCAACTTTAATTACTAACTAGTTTATCAAACATATCTTATATGTATAGCACATCTTGTGTATAACCTATGTCCAACCCTCTATGTATAACATGTTGTTACCATGTAATTGTCTATATATTCGTATTAACGAGATTAATTCATGAAAAACTATTTATTTTCACATGATATTAAGACCAAAACATCCTAATTTTTCAATATCTTTCCTCTTCTTTTTTTATTGGCTTCGACATCTCCTAACTCTAAATCTTACTAGTGTAAGCAATCATGAACGATAGGGCTTTGTGATGAAAATGATGAAGGGACGGTGTTTAGCGCATGCATTATAATATCACATCATCACACTATTCCGAAGAAGTAGCACCGCAAAGCCTTATAGAGGCTCACGATAGGGGTATGGTGAACATATTATTGTAGTATACCCATATGGTATCTTTTATTTCACCTTTGTCCCCTCTTTTTTATTTTAAGCTAGAACTGACAATTGGGTTGAGTTCGAGTTGGCGGGTTGGCTGATCAGAAAACATAAATTCAACCCAACCCATATAATATATGGGTTGGTTGGTTGGAAACCTCAACCGAACCCAACTCATATAACCCGTTTAAGTATATGGGTTCACAGGTTCATAAGTTAAATTAGTCAAACCCAACTCATATAACTCGTTTAATAAATAAACAACACATGTAACATAAATTCATAAAATAATTAAAGTAATTAACATAAAAAAAAGGTTTTCAACATAAATTCATAAAGATAATAACATCCAAATAAAGATGAAAAATGAAAACATTCATAGAAAATGGATGTGTTCTTCGTTCGTGACTCGTGAAATAACGACATGTATTTTTTCTTTTTCTGATTAACGAACCGCAAACGCAGATTAGTCACATACAAATACGGAATGAATATAATGATACGAAATATTACGAATACGGATGTAAATCAAATTTAATTATATATATATATATATATATATATATATATATATATATATATATATATATATATATATATATATATATATATATATATAATATATATATACACGGGATGACAGGTTGACCCGCAAACCCTAACAGATAACCCAACCCAACTAATGAAATAAACGGGTTTGTGGGTTGGCAGATTGACGGGTCAAAAATCTCAACCCAAACCCGTCTATTTTCAGGTTGAATCATTGTCGGGTTATGGGTTGAATCGAGAGTTATCACCCCTACTTTAAGCACATGGAACGATTTTTAGCCTATTAATAGGCATATATTAATTTGGGTGTTTAAAAATTTGTTAGGCACACGGTACACAAATGTTACATCATATATATATAATGTAATTGCTTGATTCAAATAAAAATGTACACAAAAATGGTAAATTTTAGGAATTGTTGTGAAATTATAATTCTATGTTTCTATAACACATAATATTTTAAAATTAATATATTTACTTATGGACCAACCAAGTCAATTTAAATACTTTACTAAATTAAAACGATCGATAAAAATCTTTTTAATTCTTTTCCCTAATTGTATGTATGAATAGCGTTTATAGTCTACAACCATAACTTTAGATCAACTCAAACCATCTCTCAAATATACCAGCTTTGTGTTCTTGAGGCTAAGAGTCCTCCAACCAACCTTTAAATTTAACGTCATTTTTGTGTTAGCTCCATTTTAACATCAAATATGAAAGTAAAAAATGAAGGCTCTAGAAAAAACTATTTTAGGGATTTGTTGAAGTTCAATAATTATTGCAGTGTTAAACAATCATTACTTTAGTGTTAAGTTGTAACGATCCAAAATTTAAGACCAAAAATTTCTTTTAATAAATCATTACTTAAATAAAGTCATCATTCCAAAACACAATACGAGTATAAGTTTTCAAAACACATGTTCATTATCAGAGTAAACATTCTCAGGCTGTCAAATCTATGGTATGTGCCATGCGATCACCCCGAGCTCTGCCCTCCACTACCGGAAGTACCTGAAACCAAAACTGAAAACCGTAAACACGAAGCTTAGTGAGTTCCCCACCCTACCACATACCATGCATAACCACATACTGCACATACTGGGCCACGCCCACTATCTTGGGTCTCGCCCACTACAACGGCCCTGCCGCTCCAGGCCCCACCTGGCTTCGAGCCCCGCTCGGATACAGATCTGTTTTACTTAGGCCTCGCCTGTCACAGGGCCTCGCCCGCCAACAAATAATAACACATAGACATTTCACAACACATAACTAACACATGCAACTGGTTCTGTCCTAAGGCCTCGCCCGTGTCCTTCTACTGATGAGTCATGGGACCCCGTCCACGCTCCTAATGGTAGTGAGGTACGAGCCTAGCCCACTCTCACTCCTGTTCTAGTTTGGGCCTCGCCCCTATTCTGCTACTAATGAGATATGGAACCCCATCCACACTCTGCTATTGGTGAGATACGGGACCTCGCCCACACTCACCTCCCTACCAGGCACATACATGTATCACACAGACAACAAGTATAAACTATCATATAAACAATTCCTTGGGCACCCGCCCGCTATTACTGGACCTCGTCCTGAAATAATACTAGCATATGTGCCTAGGGCTAACCCCCGGTCTTCTACTCATAACTACATGGGCCGGCATTGTGGCCTTAGACCCATTCACACAAAGGGAAACTCACCTGCACTGGCTGAACTTGCTGATGATCTCACTAGTTGCTGCCTGACAACTCACGGAACTCCTGCTCCCCTTGCTCCCCGAACTACCAATATCAATGCAACACTGAGTCTAACTGACCCCCGAAAGACAACCAAGTCCACCCTGGTCCAAAGTCAAAGTCCTGGTCAAGGTCAACCTTCCAGGTCAACCCTACTCGCCGAGTCACCCTACTGACTCGCCGAGTTCAAAATGATCAGATTCCTTCCATTCGCGACTCGACTCGCCGAGTCAGTCCATGACTCGCCGAGTCTACCGATTTCTGAGTCCAGACCTGTCCAACTCACTGAGTCTCCACCCGACTCACTGATTCGAGTCACAACCCGAAGGGTTTGGGGTTTCGCGACCTGACTCGCCGAGTCCAAGAACAGACTCGCCGAGTACAAGGCAATCTTCATACGACTCGACGAGTTGTTCATCCCACTCGTCGAGTTTCTCCACAACTTCATGCTACTCGCCGAGTCCACTCAAAGGACTCGCCGAGTCCCTTCAGTTCTCCTTACATGCAGAGGACTTTTGAGTCATGCATGGACCCCAAACTGTAGATCTACCCTTCCCAAGCCTATTCCCTACGTAAAGTTGCAATCTTTACGTGTAGAGAAGGAGATCTAGGCAAAACATGCCAAAAACTAGGGTTTAAGGCCAAGGGGCTTCAAAATCGACTTAATGGCTGATACTTTATGCTTCTCCAGACCATAACACACTTGGATTTGAAGTAGCAACTGCATATCCGGCTTCTAACCCATAAGGGTGGCTAATCATGGCTTAAAAGCCCCAAAACTCACAACCAAAATTAGATCTAAGGGAAGGAAATGACTTAATACCTTCAATACTTCAGAAAGGTTCCACAAACTCCAGATCTGAAGCAAATCCTTGAAGCTTCACTGATTCCCCTCCTTCTTCTTCCTTCGAATCACCCAAAAATGGCTTGGAAGCTTGAATGCACAACAATGGAGGCTTAGGCTTCGTTTTCTGAACAAGAGGGGCTCTAAGGAACCCTAATGGAGAGAATAAGGAACTTAAATAGTGCCCAAAGTCCCAAATTTAGGGTTTTCTTCACACAGACCAGACTCGCCGAGTCCACTTGGCCGACTCGCCGAGTTGGCCACTTACACCTTGACCCGGATCCCGCTCGGACTCGCCGAGTCGACCCTTAAATTAGGTCTTTTCTTACCTTTCTTGGCCTTTGAAACTTTGGGTGTTACAACTCTCCCCCACTTAAACTAAACTTCGTCCTCGAAGTTTACTATACTCTACTGCCGGCGATCTGCCTCCAAAGCCCCACCATCCATTCTAACACCAGCTGCCTAACTTTGCTGGCCTTCCGTTCAATCATTCAGACCAACGCCAATCCTTACAGATAATAATCTCGGGTCCATCCTGAGCCTAAACATCCTGTAACACAACTTACTCAACCGACAATCTTTTTGGTAATCTCCAAATACTGCACTGACCCCGTAGGGGTTCACCCTTTCTTTCCTTATGCGCTTTCCTTGCCTCTCCCAAGGCAATGCTCCATAACCATATATCCCTTCTGCCGCGGTGAAGACCCTTTCCTCACCAAATCTATTACTCCCGCCACTCCCAGTACGGGCCATCGTTGCCAGTACCCTCTGGGCATTCTTCCTACTATCATTCGGTGTCGAGCACCCCACGATCGACTAACTGAATTCCACCATACTCTGCATCCCCGCACTGCTACTGACTAGAAATCATGCTATTCTTATCTGGCTTCCGAATAAACTGAGACCATCCTGGTCCCTACCATCCTATCAATATCTGGATTACCGACTCTCACCGATTACTGACCCAGCACAACCACTAGTCGCTCCCAGCGACATTCGAAGATACTTCCGCCACCTATACTGCTCAATCTATTCTACCATGCTGGCACTACAATTTCCTGGGATCCCCGATCCCCTTGTCTAGACGCTAAGATCCTTACCAGGTCCCACCTGTGTTGCTAAAACTCACGGGCCTTGCCCACGGGTCTCACCCAACCATACTACTGAGCCACCTTGCTCTCAGGTCTCACCTATACTGCTATCCTCATACGGGCCTCGCCCACGGGTCTCATCCGACTATATCCTAGAGCGGCCTCTTCCAAGGTCTCATCTCTCAAAGGCTATACAGGCAACTCCATACCATTCTCATTCATTCCCCTATTCCCGATCCCTATCTGAATGCTAGGATATAAGGGTCTCGCCCCGACTCCGCCAACGAAGCTACTACAAAATCATTGTTTTGAAAACCGGACCGGACCGGCCGGTTGAACCGGTTTAACCGGGAACCGGCTGTGGTACCGGTTTTTTAAGGCCATAAAACCGCTTGTAAGCCAAACCGGAAAAAACCGGCGGTTCAACCAAAAACCGGTGAAAACCGGTGTGGTCTAACCCGAAAAAACCGGTGGTTTTAAAAAGATAGATATAAAACTTGTACTGAGTGAAAACCAAGGGAAGGGTCCCATTTTTTATTTGAGAAGTCCACTCTTTGTTTCCATGCATCGTTAGTGCTCGCCTTCTTTATATAGACTCTAAAAGCCCCAGCTTCAGTTTTTTGGCGATGTGGGACGTGGGAGCAAAGTAAATAAACATATAACAATTACAATGGAGTCTCCGTATTCCACTCTACACTCAATACTAGGATAGCTTTTTTCTTTTTTCTTTTTATTTTTTTATTATCTTTATAACAAACATTTAAGAAAGAATCATATAAATTATTAAAACACAAACTTAAAAATGTCTTGTTTTATTTTAAATCGTAATATATATAT